TAAAAGTTCATGCTATACGTACAACCAAAAAAAGATTTTGTATTTCTATAAGTGGGGTCAAATTATGGAATAATTTAAGTGTGCACATGAAGAACAGTACTAGAATTGAGGAGTTTAAATATAAATATAAATGTATGTGTCATTCAAGATATATGCAAGAATAAGAGATTTAATCAAGAATGCATGAAGGAAACACTCTGTTCTAAATTTTCTGTGTATTACTTGTTTGGTGAAGAAGAGAATTACCTATGTAGAGATACTGCTTGCAGCCAATGATGCATGAAATTGTTTGTATAAGATGATGTTATGGGGTAGGACTGGATAAGTCTGACTTCTTCCTACTCCATTCAAACATGTACTAAGTATAAGCAAATTGTTATTGGATTAGCATTGGTTGGATTTGTGTAATTATGTGTGTGTTGATGTCATTTGTTCTGCATGTTTGAAAGAATAAAATCAAATCAAATCAATCAAATCAAATCAAATCAAATCAAAGTTGATTGTGATTTATAAAGGGAATTTGCATATAAATCTGGTAAATATTTGGTATAGATCCCATGCAGTTTTATGCATGTGGCCCTGGGACTGCCTCTCACAGCTCCCCTACAACCCTCCTCTGGATAAATACCATAGCTAATGGATGGTTGGATAGAAGCAGCAGCAGTTCTGGCTGTCTTGGTGCCCTAGACAGGCAACCAGGTCCCCTCCCTGATCAGACCACATATGTCTGTCCGAGCCCAGGAGTGTGGTGGTCAAACCCAACAAGCATATTGTATTTCATGTCCAAACCTGACCTGAGCCCAAAGCAGTTGAGTTTATGTGGTGTTTTTCTAGAAATCTGTAGTTAGTTTTCTAGTTATGCCCATTGTTTGACCTACATGGCCAGACCCAACTAGACCCCAAACATGATTTCTTAATTTATGTCTAAACCTGATGCAAACCCTTAGATACCAATGGGTCCCAATGGATTTGGTTTGGGCTTCCACCCTCCAAACATAATATATAAAGAGAAATACAACATGTAAAAAATCTGATCTGGACCAGGTAAAAATGACAATAGAACAAACAGACAAATAACATGAATGAAATTAACAGTAGCCTAGTGCAAAAGTTCATATGGTAAATTCATATTTACCATAAATTTCAATCAGGCTTTAAGACTCGTCATAGCACTGAATCGGCTCTACTGAAGGTCCATAATGACATCACTATGGCCCTAGATGCCAAGCGGCCCGTTGTTCTTGTTCTTTTAGTTTTATCGGCAGCCTTTGGTCTCCACTTGGTTCAGTCATATCAAGGTACAATGTTCATTTTCATTTTTATGTCAATGACATTCAGATCTATGTACCACTGACACTGGGCGACTGTTGTGCACTTATCTTGCTGCAAAATTGTATAAGTGACATAAAACTCTGGCTATCACAGAATTTTGTGCACTTAAATGAGAACAAGACAGACTACATCGTGTTCAGCCCCGACCCCGCTGCTGTGGTACCTAGTTTTGGTGCCCTAGCACCTGCATGCACTGGCGCTGTGAGGAACCTTGGAGTCATTTTTGACAGTGATTTTAATTTTGATAAGCAGATCAGATCCGTGGTTAAAACCAGTTTTTATCATTTGAGACT